GTCCGCTGTGTCCATCCGTTACACTGTCAGCCACTGGGACAGAGGGTGGTAAAATAACACAGGCACAGGAATGTGGGGTTTTTTGTTTTTTTTTTTTTAAATGATTTTTTTTTTTAAGAAACTGCATACATCAGAGACAAACAATAATTTAAATACCATGCAGTTTCAGTATGTACAAAAACTAGGACATAGAGATCCAGTTTAATTTTTTTTTTTTCTACTTACTTATTTACATCATTTTCATACAGCCATAATCTGTTAAATTACAATACTGGAAGAGCACATGATTGACAGCCACCACACTCACTCCTATACAAAGACAAACTATGTACATACACTTGGATATCAACTGGAAAATGCAACTGGTGCAGGAGTAACTGGGACACACGGGCACGCAGGTAACATGCCCGTCACCTCCTCTTTGTTTACAGAAGTTGTTCCAAGCTCGAGCAGACTGAACACCTGGGAAAAATCATTTGTCCACTTTTTCTTTTTTTTTTTTTTTTTTTAATTAATTAGCCTAGTCATCTCCCATGGCTCTTTATACAAAGTGATTTTTATTTGCAGGCACGTTAGGGAGCCCCTGATCACTTAAAACTATGGATTTCCATCTCACCCATCTATCGTTAGGCTTTCACTGGGTGTGCTGGAAGGGCGCCCCCTCTGTTGGTTTATAGTGTTTCCACTGCACAGAGGGCGCTGTAGGAGTAACAAAGGGTGAGTTCGGGGACTGGCTGCAGTGATGACAAAGTGCTGTGGTTACATGTAAGTCTTAGGCTGAAATATATTTGTGTAAAATGGGCTCATTAAATCGTTTCAGTTAACATAAGAGAGTTAAAAGTCTGTTATATTCTTTCCCCCCCTTCCTTCTCTTCTGGTAATGTCTAGAGTGAGCACTGGGAATTGTCAAGATACAAAAGCTGGCCTGAGCCCCGTCCCAGCAAACCTGCAGCCTGAAACTTCTTCGGCTTGCAGGTACCTAATGAGCGGGGCATGGGGCGAGGAAAGGCCACCACGCTGGCCTTCCCTGTCAGACATAAATACAGCACCAGGTCCCTACAGCCCGCTGCGGGTGCGGGTGGGAGGGCGATGCTGCCACCATCCTGTTTCCTCACCATCGCGCTTTTTTTTTTTTTTTTTTTTTTAAAGTCCCAAACAATCACAACTTTTGTCTAGACGCTTTGGAATTGCTTTTCCAATCCCTGCCACCTCCCAAGGCCCCGGTTCTATCTTGCCATAGGCCGTAGAACAGATGTCACAATCCTTTAAGTATGGATAACCCATCAAGATTCAGTAGGTTATAACCAAAATGTTTCTCTTCCTTGACTCTAGAATATTACCTCCATTAGCAGCCCTGGAGATGGATGATTAGAATAACCATTTTTTGTTCTGTGGTGATTTTTCCATTCTCTAAACCTGTTGTAACTTCTTTATTACTGCTATTAATCACCTTCTAATATGAATGAGGATGACTGGTGTTAACTGCGATGTTAACAGAGTCCTAGCAGGAACACAGTCATCTTTATGTCCTACACATAATCTGGGGGTGGGGGTGTGTAGGAGGATCATGACTGACTGTTGTTGGTTTGTTGTTGTGGGTTGTTTGGGTTTTTTTTTTCCTTCACCCCAACAGAATCACAGCTGCTTTGCCGTGATAGAGATGGCTTTCACAGATGAGAAGACAAGTGCTCAAAAAAACATTTCAAACCAAAAAAAGAAAAAAAGGAGGACTAGCTGTTCCCCAGTCTGCTTGCAACTTCCCACGGATGCCAGAGGTGGGTGTGCAACCTGAGGATGTGCTGCTATGTCCAGGCACCGAAAGGTGGTTGAGGAATGCCTCACCAAAGGGTAGCTTTGCAAAACACCCAGACCCACTGAAGCTAAACCCAGATGAAGTGCCAGTTCTGCAGTGCTTACTGCAGTGCCAAACGCTTTGTATGGCTTCTTTCTCCTCCCCTTCCCCTTTTCAGTATTAAACTCTACTTGCAGTTTGGGAGAAATATGGCAGTTCTTCCACTGTGTCCTGGTGTTTGCTCAGCCAGGAGTTAATATAATTAAAAAAACCCAAAACCAAATTAAAAAAGAAAAAAAAAGGCATTGGCGCATGTCGCTGCCCTGAGGACAGCATGAATCCCGAGGCAGCGGGGAGCGTGACAGCTTGCCAAGGGGCCAGCAGGGACCTGCCTTGGGCCCACCCAGGTGAAGGCAGGGTGGCTGGGGAAGGTCTGGCCTGCACCCAGGAGTCAGTGGTTACACGCCCCATCTGCCGCCCTGCACTGCTGGGTGCCATGCCCACGAGGGATGGTGGCAGTACCCAGTGACGTTGCCCACAGATGCCCTGTCCCCCAGCACCGACAACAGACTGACGGCCCAGTCTGCTGCTGTCCCCTCTTTCCTCTTCATTTGAATTGGAAAAAAAAAAAAAGAAAAATCTCAGCTTTTCCAAATCACCAGCCTACTGAGGCCTGTGATTTCTGTCACCGCTGCTCCTTACATGGCCTCCTTTCCCTTTCCCAGGGAACCTCTAAGCTAAGGATGCCAGGGCAGGTATGGGATCCATACTGGGAACATGGCGACTTGTTGCTCCTCACAACAGCTCTGGTGCAGAGCCCTTTCCTAATGCAACGTCTGTGTAGTCAAAAACATGGAGTTTTGTTTTCCCTTTTTAAAGCTGTGATGCAGTCTTGTTACATGTGCGTGTGTATGTGAGTGCCTCTGACAACACGAACCCCAGGTTTTCATGAAAATAGCCCCAAAGCAGTGTATTCCTGGCTAGTACTAAGTGCTCTGGCTTCACTGCACTGAGCTGATAACATGGCACGTTAAAGGCTTTCACTACTGACAACTTGTACCTAAAGCAACTCTGAGCTGGTGATATAGGGATCACCGTGTGGTTCTTCGGGAATCAGTACCTGCTCAGGGAGGCGTAGCACATTGGGGCTTGAGGCCTCAAAATGAGGCACCAGAAACCAGCTGGTTTCTACTTTCCTTTGTAGCATCTTCCATCCTACAACAGCCAATTCTTATTTAATAGCAAAAAATCCATAGCATTGCAAGGATGGCCACAGATGAGAATGAAACGCATTCGCTTTGTCTCTGATGGTACTGAGTACCGCTGCTAGGCCTAACCGGCGTGCACTGGCCTTGCTGGCAGTGGTGTTTGGGCAGGCTGGCTGCTCGAGCAGCTCCCTGGGGTAGGTGCAGGTCCTCCTGCTTTACTGCCAGGACCAGAGGAAGGAGATGAGGCCTGAGAAGAGGCAGGAGTGTTGGCACTGTGCAGCACTGGCCACTCAATGCTCATGTGCGAGAGGCTGCTTGGCCCGCCATTGGTGAAAGGCAATGTTAGCATGGCATGGGGGAGGTAGAGAGGGAGCACAGATACGTGGAAGACGGGGAGAAAGGCAAAAATAATAATAACAGAAATAACTCTGTAGTATAAAACTTTGGCCTCTCTCTTCAAACTGTCAAAGCAAACTAGCTATTACGGAAGAAAAAAGATGTCCTGACGTGATAATCTGGAACTTGTTACAGTAATGTTGCTACAGTGCCTTGGGCCACTGACCCAAAACATGGCATAATGGTGTCTTGTTAGAGCTGGAAAGGAATCCTAGAGAGTGTCTGCCCCAGCTGGCTGGTGTTACGCACGTGTTGAAGACTTGATGCTGGAAGGTGTTGGCCTAAGGTCCAAAAAGGGCTTGAATGTGTTCATCTTCAATTAAGCCTGTCAAATGTGTTCTTGCATGCAGTGAGGCTGGCTGCATGCTTACTTAGTGTTAAGCACATGCTTAAGTTGGCAAGTCAACCAGGCCCAGAGTGACCAGCTCTCTGAGCTCTGCATGGTCAGTTTGTGTGTTAAACCACTGTAATAAAAATAAATTAAACCCAGAACACCTCTGAATTGCTGTCCTTACACCTCAGCTGGGGGGACCGGTGGCAAGGCCCACCATCCATACCAACGTGCCAGACTCCTTTTGTTAGGCCACGTAACGCACTCGCTCACGCTTTTCTCAGTGCGAGTTTAAGATCAATTCTTGAAACACCTGATACAGCGAGGACAGATATCCCCCATGGAGCCCCTGGTGCCTCCTGTCGTGTGTCCCTCTGCAGAGCGGGTGGGAATCCCAGCCTTCCTGGCTGCTGGGTGCGCATCGGCTCTCGTGCCATCACGAGGCTCGGGTGTGAAAACGAGCTAGAAGCTGAGCGAAGGCCATGCAGTGACCATGAAGAGATGGGTTTTGCTTGCTTGTCCTCAACGGTCTTGTCACTTAACTGCTGATGGGTTCACAACTGGGTTTAGAAAATTATACTTGGAAGAGATGAAGAATAAGCAGTTGCTAGAACTGAACCAGCCTTCAACAGGGAGTCCTGTTCTTCACAGGTGGTACCTGTTTCTGCCTGGGAGCTGAACAAGGCCTGTTGACTGTCCGTAAACTGCTCCAGGGGAAGAAATGCCTTTCTAGTCAGGTGATGTTTGCAGCTGGGCTGGCCCGTAGAGTAGTTTTGCTCCTTCACCATCCTCGTAAGGTGCTTGCAGCCTGAAGGGAGTGTTTGGTGTAAGTGCTTTAGTGCCATAGGTGCCTGTCTTTTGGAGACGTCACCCAGGCCAGTGATTCCCTGAACACCATCTCGGGGCTCTCTAGAGTTGATGACAGAGGCTTGTCAGGATGAGGGGTGCCTGAAGACGAAATGCTGCCCCACCAGCTGGGCTTGAACACATATGGCAAATCCACATGCCGGGAAAGTCTTCTACGTAGATGCCAAGTCTTGGCACAGTTCCCACCAGGGGTATTTTCTGTTAGTGAAGCTTGAACCAGCAGGTCTGATGATGCTGCAGTACCCATCACATGTAAATACAATTTTCCTTTTTTTATATTTATTTTTCTACTTTTTTTTTTTCTTTTTTTTTAAAAAGGCAGTTCAGAAGATTTACATTGTACGTATCAGGGAAGTGAGTAATACCAGCACTTATGGTTCCTTTTAGTTATGTTTTGAAGACAGCATAGTAGTCAGGTAGAATTGAACTGCTACGGTCTATGAAACCTAAAATCCAAGGGGAGAGAAAAAAAGAGAAATGGTAAGATAATATTCTCACGTACCTATTGGAGAACTAATTGCTACGGTGACACAATTAGGCAGCTTGATTCCTGCAGCATTGACATCGGCCATGCTGGCAATGTGGACCCAGAACATTCACACTTCCTTGGTCCTTGCCAGGCTCCCACTTCATAGGCACCAAAAATCTGCCCAAGACACTGATATGCTTTGGGTCCATCCTGTCAGATCCCTGAGCGAGTTCCTTCAGATCAGCTAGTCCTCTTTCACACCACACCATGCCCGAGTCCACAAAAATTGTCTGGTTTAGACAAACCTATTATGCCCTTCAGCCAGAGAGATTTATGTACAGTTCAAGTATGATTATTCCTTAATGTTGGGGGCTAAAGAGACAAGTAGAGCTAAAATGGCCACCCTTTCCACAAGCACACCCCATGTCAGCTCTGCAAAGGTGTGTGGGTTTTTATTTTTTCAAGCTTTGATTTTTTCACTCTCTTATGAATTAATTAATGTCTCCCACTAGTAAAGCAACAGTCACATTCTGCTTAATGACATGAATAGCTCATTACCTTGCTAATGATTTTATAATGGTGATATGTCTAAGTTTGTTTAAGGGAATTACTCTATTTTGTTTAAGCGTGCTTCCTTCAAGTGCATGTTTTCTGAAGCCACTTGTCTAACCAGTAACTTCACACAAACTCTTATTCCAATTTCTATTTTTTATATATATATATGTGTGTGTGTATATATATATATATATATACACACACACACACACACACACACACACAAACACACACACACCTCCGAGTATGCCTGGCCCAGATTTAGTGAATCAAAGCCACTTGGTGGCTTTCAGATACAAGCTGAGTCACCTCAGAGGGTCACTGCTCATCCCCACACTGGAAGAGAAGTGAAGTACTGCCCAGAAACGTCCGAAAGCTGAGCAGCTGGAGACCTCTGAAAAACTACACCAGGCTCTGTGTTTGTGGGAGGCTAAAGGCCTCATGGAAATCCATGGAGCTCAACTTCCTGTAGCAACACCCCCTTTAAAACAGCCTCATCCTGTCTTAAGTTTGTCACCACTCTCCTGGAGGAGCAAGCCAGTGTCCCTCAAAGGGTTGCTCACCAGGGTCAACAGATCTAGGCCAACTGCACACCCTAAAGCTTCTTCCGGAGCTCGTGGCTCAAAAGCAGCTGGCTTGTCGCTAGCAGCACGCTGTTATTACAAACCCCAGCGCAACCATCCTAGCACAAGCTAGAAAGTAGAAGGGAGATCGTTTCTGCAAGGGCACGTATGCATAATACATGTGGTGAATTTTAATATAATTATTAATTTATACACATAAAAATCCTCTAATACAAAATTAATTTTGCCTTAAGCTTTTCTGTATTTTTCTTAAAAGTATTGACTGCATTTTTTATGAGCACCTAGCTGATGATCGTATTAGTACAAGGGCAGCTCCAGTTTTGCACCAGACCTCACTGTCACTTGTCTTCAATACCGAACATTTCTCTGTAGTGTCTAACAATGAGTAGGGGTTAATGTTGATTTGCCTTTGCAAAATTTGCCTGACTTCAGCTGAAATACCCAGAGTTCAGCTCATCTCAGCATCAAACCCAGAGCAGACTCAGCACAGGCTGTCTGAGGGGACGTGCCCTGCCCTCCCCGTGTGCCTCAGCCCTAGCCCGTCAGAGGAGCGTTGTTAGTTTGAGGTCGTAGACAATTCATTCAGTCTCTACCTTTTCAACTGAAAAAAGCCTAAAAGTGTAAAAAAAAAAAATAGTACCTCGCTTACAATGCTGATCTTGCTGTTTCCCCACTGCATCACCTATGGCAGGAGGTGGAGTATGGGCCAGAGATTTGTGTGGGGGACGTGCGCAGTGCGGGACAGCCGTGCCCCCAGCGGGGTGTGAGTGTACACTCACTCATACCTTGCTATGTGCTGGCCCTGCAAGAGTTCCCTGTCCTTCAGACATGATGTACTGATGCCAGAAGAACAGACATGCAGCTAGAGCACGATGATTTAAAAAATAGGAGGCTACACGCTATTAAACAGACGCAGGTGCCTGTGTACTGCTGCGTAATGGAGCAGCATGAGTTGTGTGAGCTTCTTTTACAGCCTGTTATTCTAAATGTTGTCTAGACCTCATGGTGTGTTCAGTGGGTGTTGGAGAAACAGCTGCTGGTGGGTTGTTTTTTTAAACAACAGTATTCACTGATAGTCTTAAAAAATTAATCTCAGCTTACCTTGTTAGATGCCTACTTAATTCGTGAACCTCCATTTCAGTGCTTTTAAATTCATTAAGCTCTTTTCGAATGGCTGCCTGCAAAGGACAAATAAAGACATAAATGTATAAATGAGAGATGAAAATAAGTTCACTTTGTTCTCAAAACAGCATATTAAAAGTGAAAGTGAAGCAGATAGATAACATTATCAGAGAGAGAAAGAAAAACATAAAAAGACTTTAAAATGCAAAAAGGAATAGAGATAAACATGTTCAAAATCACATAAAAAGGGAAGAGATAAATGCTTTGGTGGAATGGCTCAATTTGAAAACATATTGTAGACAACGCAGATACAGAACCCAAGTTTGGCTTATTATGTAAACACTTTCATGTACGAAATCCAAATTAGCATAAGCATGAGAAAAATAATGTGCACCACAGTTTCTCAAACACTGGGATCTGTTTTGGAGCTGGACTGTGAGTCAGCTGGGCCTGACTCGTGCCAGACTCATATTTGAGATGTCTCCTGCCTTTATGTGGTCCTGAATTTCCTCGGATGAAGTTACCTGAAGTGGCTGACTTTACTGGGGAGGGAAAGAGGGACGCCTGGCTCCCTGCCTGCTGCTCTGCCTCAGGCTGTGCCCCTCTGCCTTCCCCCTCCCTTCTGACCCAGCTGTGCTATTACTGAACTGACTGAACACACTAATCCAGCAGAAAACTAGCTGCAGGTGATTGTATGCAGCACCCACAGGACTCCCAGTTACCTACAGCCTCTGTGGCTTGTCCATGAGGGAAAAGAAAACCAGGGGTGACTGGCAGGAAGAGAACTATTGAAGAATAATAAAATAGAAGGGGTGACATGGAGGGGCTCAGCTTCAGGGTGGAGACAGCACTCAGCAGAACTGCCTCAAGTCCCAAGCCCAAAGCGAAGACTTCTGACAGCCCTCTGATATTTGTAACTCACAAGTGGGTTTCGCTGTGAGCGTCTGGAGAGGACGTGCAAGGCGGCTGCTGTGGCTGAACGCTCCCACGGGTCCGTGTGCCACTGCCCTTCTGTGTGATGCTGGAAACATCAGCATCAGCGGCTGCAAGTGCCTGCTCCAGCCGGTGGTACTTGTGTCTGTCAGGAATTGTTCTCAATGAAGGAAATCTAAACTAGTATGAACAGCACAAGCCCAAAACAGGGCTTTTGCAACAGCCACTGATCCAGGCACCAACCACCTTTGCCTTGACAAGCCCTAAGTGCTAGATTTTGTGCGTATGATCTACAGAAGAGGTCCCCTGTGCTCCTGGGCAGCTTTGGGTTTTTATTTACCTTAGAAATGTCTGTCAGGCTCTGCCTCCATCTGTCAGGACAGAGCGACAGCTATGGAGTGACTCAAGGGCCTACCTGCAGCAGACCAATCTGCTACTTAAGTGACTGTGAAGGAGGCCATGCAGGCTTCTGACTCCCGCAAGGTCTGAAGTCTATTCCCCCTGCATCCCTCAGCTGCTGGAGAGATTTAGCAGTGACCTTTTTATTCCTCTAACAGTCAGACCTGGTAAAGATGAAGAAGTCAAGACTGAAGGCAGTTCCCTACATCCAGCACACAGAGCAAGATTTCCTGACGAACAGAAAAGTCCATTACTAAAATCTATTTTTGCAATAAATCCGGCCTGTGCTGACCAATGAAGACAGTTATTGAATTAAAGCTCTGGAAGAAAATAATTTTTTATAGGATGTTGCAGCTTTGTTAGGCATTTCAGTTGCTTCCAATTTGTCTGGCTATTTTTTCCAACAGTGTGGTGGGGAAAAGCAGGTCATCTGAATGGCAGAAATAAGAATACCACCCATATGACCCAAACCCCCCAAATAATAGATCTGCTTCCTTATGCCGTAAGGGGCATTAATATTATAAGAATGACAAACATTTCTTCTTCTCCTGCTTTCCTTAGAGAAGGTTCATTTGGAGAACTTGAGCCCTTTGCTCTGTGTATTGACTTTGCACATGCATTATAAAAAAGAAAAAGGGACTTCAAAGTACTTTGTCTTAATACTGAATTCTTTACCAGGCTACATGTAATAGTGGCATTTAATACTGGTTCTTTTCACAGGATGAGAAAGGACCTCACTGGAGACCAAATCTTCTCCTTTCCCAGCTGAAGTCTCTCCATGCCTTTCGTCCCAGACAGGGATCTCTCAAAGGCTGCAGGACCAGTTGGAGATTTATTCCCTCCCTCATCTACTGACTGGGAGAGTATAACCAAGTCAGCTGAGTAAGGTCTCATCCAGCATGGTGAGGTAAACTGGGAAAATCTGATTTAACCCAGTATATTATAGTCTGTGGACATTCCAGAGGAAGTTTTTTTCATATCAGTTTATGCTACATTAATTTATCCAAAGCTAAACTGAAAAAGCACTCTGCCAAGGAGAAAACGAGTGGTCACAAAATTATACAAGTCCTTTGGTTAAATTATACGAATAGAACGGGCTGCCCTTTCCTCTGTGAATAAAACCAAGAGCACCATAACTGAGTGGCAAGGCCAGAAATCCTGCTCCTGTCTCTAAACATTGGACATCGTGGTCTCCATGGCTGCATGACTCCCACAGCAAAGAAATAATCAAAGCTTGAATTCAAGTACCTCAAAGTCTTTCAGATTACATGGGCATCACAAAGTGATTGTAAGCACGGGAATCACGGACCAGCCTCATGGTCCTCTTTTCTTACAGTGGCCATAAAAACATTTAAATCTTCTTCCTGTGGCATTAAGACTCCCATTAAGACCCTCAGGATGTGACTGATATAATTTGCCAGCAATTTAACCCCTCTGCCACCAATGCTCACGCCAGAGATGCCACTTAGTGACAGTCCCACCGGTGCTCAGATGACAGCACCGTCAATACCAAACGTGCGGCTCTTCTCCATCGGCAGGGCTCCTGCGATTTCAGCTCAGTGCTTAAAATACTCTGTGGCAGAATTCCTGAGCAAAGGCCCCCGTTGTAACAACACTAGAGAGAAGCTGCCTGACTTTGGTGGGATGGAGGTGCCTTTGCCAATTTGTCCTGCTAGCATTTTTGCACCCTGGCATGGCAATTCTGGCAAGTGCTGCTGTCACGCTGCTCTGCTAGGTCTTGGTAGGAGCTCTCAGCTGGCAGCATTATGTGGCAAGCCCCAAACCAACAAATAACAGGGGTGCCATCAAGACCTTTTCTCAAAGGGCTTGAGATTCTTTCCTCTCTCTTTAAATGGTGTAATTCTGCTAAGCTTGCTCCTGGTTTCCACGCATATAGAGGCCTTCTTGCCAAAGATTTATAACTCAAACAACAAACTTTGTGAATGGGAAGAAACCACAGGTGTGTTGGGAAGGGATGTCAGGTGGAGGTTTATTCCTTCATGGCCATGAGACCTGAGGGATGCTGGTTGCCGTGACACGCTCTAACTATTCAGATCACAGCTGTCCCAGGGTTGCTTGACTTACTTTGTCGGCGGCTGTGAGCCGTGTCCAGGGTTTGTCCGCCCTCCTGTCGTAGTCCTGCGCGTCTGCCACTTCCACGTAGTCACTGAAGCGGATGAGGATCTTCCTCTCGCGTAGCTCTTCTACCGTGGGCCTTTGACTCAGCTGCAGGTTTGAGGAAGGAGTGGAAAAAGACATCAGAACTCCCCTTTTTCCCTGCAGAGTGCTGCTTGGGGATTTATTTTACTACAACCATCATTATGGCAACAAAAGGATTCAGACATTCCCAGTACTGTTGTTTTTACCAGCCTTTCACAGAATTGCTACTTGGGAGATAACCTCTAGTTATAGCACCTTGAATATCATCCTGCCTTGCTGCCAGAGCAGCCCACTGTTGTTTGGGAAGCACCTGTGGCCAGAGACCCCAATCCCTGGCTGAGGTTGACCACCCTTGGCAGAAACGAGACGTCATGCAAGAACGTCTCCAAGTGCACCTATGTCTCAGGAAGAGACAAAGACAACCCAACTTGGAAGACTACCTGTACAGCCTGTATGCTCCCCAGCCTTGAGCTGCTGTGTGTGCTTCCATGCTGCCTGCAGAGAGTCAGGCAAAGGCACAGAGCAGTGACAAACGACCTTCCTTACCATGCTGGTACTCTGCAGACTTCTCCTTACCTCCAGGAAAGGCAGGCAGGATGATGATGAGTGCCCACTGAACTTTGCACTGTATGCTCCAGCTCTGTTATGTGTCACAGTGTATTCAACTCTTAACAGTTTACACTGCATACTACAAGCCCCCCCCAAATTGCAAGGGTGGATTGTATCATGTCAAGAAAGCATCTTCGTTGTTCCAAAGCATTTCTTTCAAATTCCACAGCAGAATAGGCAGCCACAGCCAAAACTGTCCTCTCAAATTAGAAACACTAGCGTGCTGGTAGTCCACGTATCGTACAGCCAGTTACACGGCTAGGGACAGGAATTGGCTTTTGGGGATCAATTCTCCTTGGATGCACAGCGTGCTGGCTAATGCCAAAAGCAGTTACACAACTATTTCTGAAGAAGGTGCTACATATATCTGTGCATGCAGCTGTACATTGGCTGCAAAAGTTTCGCTATTAGAGTGAAACATTTGTAATCATGACACATCAGGAAAAATAATATCCTGCTAACAGTTAGCTGCACAGTATATCGTGCTATTCCTGCTCACTAGAACTAGGTGTGGTTTGCAATACTTCACCCTGGTGAATAGTGAAAGGTCTAAATATTTAATAAAATGCTTGAGACTCTCTTCTGCAAAGTTGTTCAGGCTCCTGATTCTGACACGCAGTTCCACCAAATTAAGCATCTGATTTCCCTGCCTTTCATCTTCCAGGGAGAATTAGGATTCAAAACAGCCAGGATGCTAAGTGGAGGGTGAAAAATCCCACCTTTCTCCAGCATTTGGGTGCTGATGCAAGACAGCTCCACCACCTCATCCTGCCTGTGGCTTTAAATCCCTGTGTTCTTGGCATGGATGGTTGCCTCTCTCTTCTCTTTTCAGCAAAGATGGTTGTGATGGGAGGTTACAGTGGGGTTACTGTCCTTACTCTAATAGCCCTGAGCACGCACTCACAAACTGGGTTCAAACACCTCGTGTAGAGAGTCTGCAGAGCTGCACTAATGCCCTGCCTGCGAGATGCTCAGGAGGACAGGAATCAGGTTCTACCCCTCCTGGCTGCAGCCCAGCCGTTTTGCACACATCAAAGGCAGAGAAATCACGGAAAGAAAGTGTAGCCAGGAGCACAGCTCTATACTCTGCCCCATAATGCCCTTGCCTATGACAGCTGGCATCAGTCAGGTCGCAGCTCGGCAGTTTGTGTGTTGTCTCCAAAGCCATTTTAGGGTAAATTACAACATGTAATAGGGGGAAGACCTCCCTGCTGGTTTGAAAAAGAACAACTTTGAAACTTCTGAATATAGCAAAGATCTTGAAACTACACAGTCATCTCACACCCACCTTCGTCTATGGGAGGCGTGAAGTTTCCTGCGAGCTCCTCTGCATGTGGTTGTCACACAACATTCCTCCTATTTCCTCCAAAACCATCCCAAGAAAAGCCCTCTTTCCTGTACCCATGTTCAGGCCAGCCATGCTCAGGTCAGCCAAAGAGCATGTATGCAGTGAGGTTACCAAGAAGCTTGCCTTTCTGAGCTCAGACTACACCTTTTGGGACCTTTTTGATAAAAAGCAAAACACATAAACAGCAGGCATAACTATTTTGGCTTTTTTTTTAGACAATAGGATGAAGATCTCACTGAGCTAGAGCACCATGTCAGAAAAGCCAGAGGGCACAATAAAGTAGATCGAAGCATGTAGAGATTTAAAAATGTTATTTTTCATTCTAACAGAACAGAATTGCCTCTTCAGCCTGCAGCCCTGACACACCTAAGTCACCTGCAAGCTACATACACACCGCGATTAACAGACAGTGCTGTATCACCAAAGTGCTATACCACGCTTGGAGTATAATCACAGTTACAGTCTGAGCGAGGCTTCTCTCTGTCCTACAACTCATCTTGAATGTGATTTCAAATTGGTAGGTTTTTTCCTAGCAGCCCTAGCACTAGGAGCTGCAGGCTTGTTAGCACTGATACGTTATTATTCAGATAGCACAGCAGGGTTTTGCTTCCGATTATTTAAAATCTAACCCCTGACTATGGGAATAGAGAATCTTTATGCTGAAATAATGTTATGACTGCACCCAAAAATTTCAAAGATAAGGGTAAGACTCCATCTTTACTTGCATCAACTGCTTCTTTTCTCACAACAGCATGAATCATCAGTATTATCCACACATTTCTCAGCTTTTATCATTTTAGGACATAGCCTAGATGTTGTTTCAGATTAGAATGGAAATTTTTAAAAAATAAAATGTCATATTACATGGAGTATGATGACACTAACATAATACGAAATCCTGTGAATTCAACTCTGTGTTTCTAAATGGCTACAAGTGAAGCAGGAACTCCTACAAACTTTCCAAGCTGAAGGAGGACTTTAAGAAAATCACTGGCTCTATTTCACGGCTTCTGTCAGCTTTTGACATCAGCCCACTTTCACGTTTGTGCTAATTGAAGTGATTAGCAAGTCTGTACAAAGGGGAAGGCAGGTGGCTGTGGATACCCTGAAACGTGCCATGCTGGGCTGCTGTCTAGGTGGTGTCAAGGAGGCAAGAGCATCAAGCGCCACAGAGGTGGTGGTGCTTCTGCTGGCAATGTGAATTCATTGCTGGTATTTACCTCAATGCTGCGTTGGGTCTTAAACAGCTAATTTGGCTTCCTTGGGGCACTGGCTCTGGGCTAAAATCGAAGAAATTACGGTAAATATTAAGGGTCACATGATGAAATGAGACACATCTGAGGTAAGTTCTCCTGTTCGCAAATGCCCAAATATCAAGTCAGGTGCATGACCAGCACGTTTTACACCACTGAAACTCACTGTAATCCTTCAGCAGCTGTGAAGAACAGTACACTGAATGAAAAAATGTCAAGGGCATAAGCACATTATGAAACTTTGGTGCTAATGTGCACTTTTCATTCTTAGGTGACACCTGAGAGTAAGACAGACTAAAAGCTGCTGCTTCTCTTCCTCTAAAGTCATACAACTCTTACTGTGTATTATTTTTAGATGCCCTGCCTTTGCTTCAGAAACCTGCAACCAGTGCAATTTCAGGTGCTTCTCCACCCCATCAGGGCAGTGGGCAGTGTCTCCAGTCCCACAGAGCAGTTGGAGCCAGCAAAGCACAGAGACCAAGTGACCAGCTCAAGGTGACCCAGGAAGCCTGGGGCAGAGCTATGAACAGAGCAAAGATGCACTGACTCTCGTGCCAGTGCTCTAGCTCTGAAAGGGTGTCCTGAAATCCACAGCTTATACCACAAACTTCATGTGTAGCCATACATCCACATATATTTACATATATAAATACAGACACACACAAAATACATTCAGTACATTAATCCAAAGTGCCAGTCTGATCATACGAAATGTAAAGAGAGGGACAACCACACTGAGTGGTTTTCTAAAAGCAATTAATTAAAGCTACATTGCTCTAACGGTTAACAAACTGCCCTGCCTGTTTCTCATGCCATTGCAGAGGTTTCTTGTGCACTTCTAAGCACGAGGGTCTCTCCGTGTGCTTGGCCTACCCAGAGCACCCTTAACTCTTAAACAGCTGGGAAAACAGCTTTGCAGACCAGACTCTAAGCGTCTCCGCTGCAGTTCAATGTCTGTCCATGTTGAGGGCACAGCTCACCTGAGATCTCACCTTGGAGTTTATATTTATGACCTGTGAGCTGCAGTCTCTTGGGCCAAAATTGCTTAATGCTCATGATCCTTCCGGGGCAACCCCTGAGAATGAGCTCTGCTACTTCTAACAGGTAGAAAGAATAGGGCATGTTCAAAACTTGCAGTAAAAGGCCACGGCCAAGGACACGATGCAATTGCCTGCACGGGGCGATGGTGCTCCAAGCAGAGAGAAAGGAATCTTACTGAGCTGGACTCTGGTTTACTTATATCTGTTCATGTCTAAGGGATGTGCCTGTGTGTGTCCGGGCTTATTTCTGGGTGCCACGTGGGCATATACATTTCTATTTGCCTGTTTGTGAAGATTTGTGAGCTGAGGGAGCAGGATAACTTACGGCGAGTGACCTCATTATTTGAGTGTAAACCAAAAATGTCTTTCAAAGTAAATGGATTTGTATTAATGTAAAAGAGTGTAAATGAGGACAGGACCTTCCATGTCTCGTCATGGGAGGTCAAAGTTTCCTCTGTATATTCTGGATCACCAGAGATAAGAACGGGCACGTTTCAAGCTTTGATATTAAGCCAATTTGCAAGGGAAGGTTTAACACAACCCCCTTTGTTCTTGGCATAGGAAATGAAGCAAACCCAAGCACGGCCACCAGGTAAAGTGGAGGGGGACGTACTCTTGCCAGTCTGGTCTTCGGCTTTAGTCAAATGGGAAATGCTGAGTTTGCTCTGCTTCAGTTGCAATGAAGCTTGTTGTCTTGTCACTCCATTGTTGCCTGCTTTGTTACCTCATTAAAATGTTATGGTTATTATTTAGGGAAGAAACCAAGGTGAAAAATTACAGATCCTAACTAGCAGTGCACACAACCCCCTCTCTCCTCTGCTCCCCACCCTTTGTGGTAAGACATAGGAGCAGGAAGTGATGAAAATGCCCCGAAGACCTTTCCCTCTGACTAGAAATGCAGTTTACCCAAATTAGCCGCTAACCTTTTTTCCTTTTCTGACCTTTCCCCTCTCCCCTGGTCTGCCTCCCTCTCACCTCCTTCTGAGGAGTCCCACCTCTCTCAAGAGTTCATTATTTTGAACAGCCTGTGCTGATGCAAGCCAGAGGAGGTCAATTAAAGAAAGGACTGAACAGCAAGACATTTCCCAGTGAGGCACCAGTGAACATAGAATTTAAGTTGTACCAGGGAGGAATTTAATTGGAGTAAAGATTTCAGATGATTGCTGGGATTTTAAGAAACAGCCACACCTCATCATTTTGGTTGTCAATATTACAGCTACGAGACTTTTAGTTTCAAAGCTAGAACTATGGGAAAAATTAGCTATTGACAGTGGGGGATAGGAAGCAATAAACAGCTTTGGGGAACGGGGAGCATGATGCTATTTGAAAGAAGGTAGGAAAAGAAGAGGTTTTTTGCTCTTTGCAGGTGATTTGTAACATGTTCTGTTAATGCAGGCTACAACTCTCTGTGATGGAAGTCCTAGGGGGAGATCAGGCTGGTGTTAATTGCCTTGGTGCTCAGCCAAATTCACTGCAGTGCAGAGAGGATAAACTCTTAGTAGTAATTCCTGGGGGCCCAGATCTCCTCGTGGAGGGGACCTGCCTGAACACTTCTCCCAGAGGGCCTCTGCACATTAATATTCCTGGAATGGGCTCGTGGGCCAAGACCAGTGCTCAGAGAAAACCCCTTCCTAATCCACCTGTCCCTCCATTCAAATGATGCAAGTCCATGCGCCCAAAGCTGCTCGGTGGGCCCCAAGGGGCATGACGAGGGAGCACAGGGGTGGCTGGATGTGCAGAACCTATCCATCGGCATCTCAGGTGACAGACAAATATGCTTCACCTCTCCTTCCTTGGGCAGGAGGGACACGAGCTACAGAGAAACTGTACCAAACAGCATTTGCCTCTATTTTCTTCTTTGAATGGCAGCTATTCCCTATCCCCAGTTAATTTGGAGTTAGATAAGTCTGAGAGGATGAAAAATGCTTAAAGGGGCAGTTCGCTACACGTCACCTGATTTTTTTAAATTTTCTTTTTTAGAAATTGCCTGTCCAGATGAAGAATTCCACTAGATATTTATTGCTGACTTTAATAAGGCATCTAGACCCAGCAAGGTAATCTTACTTATTACAGCATGTCATGTTACAACTTATCATCATAATACTGTAACAAAATGTCAGCGCTGAAGGAATTTTAAGAACAGCTTTTAATGGATGAAGTGGGTTGTTCCCTTGGAGTTAGAATGACGCCACCAAAAGAATCGGGGACAGCAGCAGTTTCTGTAATGCAAGGTCAAAAGTCTTGCCAGCGGCTTCTGCAGAACCCCCTTCCCTTCTTATTACCAGCTACACATGGTTACAAGGAGGCAACGTCTCACACTTCCCTTATGTTGAATTTACCCTGTGGGCATGCGTGTGCATTGAAACTCAGTGCAAACAGAAAGGTCTGCTGGGCAAAACACTTGCAGTGCTCAATTAAACTTCTGCTTGATCTGAAGTTTAAAATCCTTTGGTAATAAGACTCAGTACAAATCGACAGAAGGAGTCTGCCACTCTGCTATAGACACAATGACACATCTGGGACATGCTCATGAAAGTCAGAGCTGGGGAATAACAAGAATTTTTGCAGGATTCGCTAGGTGGTTGGCATTTCTAGTTGTTATCTATCCACTCATTCACTTTATTCGCTTCTTTCCTCTAGCGATTTCTGGGCTTTTATAGCAATATGTTTGGTAGGTAGGTGAGAATAAAATCTGCCGTTAGGCCAGGCCTGTGATTCTTTCATTAAAATTACACGTGTCACTAGAACAATTTACAACAGTTTAAAAAGATGATCAAAATCAAACAATGCTAAGTCATGTTGCTACCAACCTCTCAAAAGTGGGGGAGAAAAATCTTTTTACTAGGGAAGAAGCCAAAAAAAGGCTCAAAGGAATGTGACCGTGAACAGTGGTACGAACATTAAAGAGCCGACTGCCAGGGGCTCGGCCTGATGCTGCTCTCAGCATTGCTCCTACTGAAAAGTGCAAACAAGACAAAGAAAGAAATCTCACGGAAAACTGCTGAGGTTTTAGGGAGCAGACACTGCTGTGATGCTATAGCAGCCTGGGCATTTTAGTCGAGCATGTGGCTGTGGCCTTTGCCTGCAACAGACAATTCATGGGCTTTGTACCTCTCCTACAAAACAGCGGAGGATGGGAACTGCACGGCGATAATGCCAGCTGAGTTAGCACGCCCTCAGTTCTTAGGCATCAGATTGGGTATGGGTAGCTTTGCTTTTTACCTGTTACAGCCGTTCATCGAATGGCATCAAGCTTTGGATTGGATTCCTGTACGTGTTTACCCTTCAATGTACAGGGAAATTGAAAGCCTGGTAAAACATTAGTTCTAGCCTTTGCGCAGAGCGTAAGTCCCATGAAGCATCTGCAATGCAGTTAGGATCTTCTCTTTCAGGCAGCACTGCGAGAGGAGGCGAGACCATCCCTGCCACTGTTGTCAGGAATTTAAGTGTTTTAAAAATAGTATTACAGCCCTCTGGGCCGCATTCTTAGCTCCTGCAGACACCAACAGTATCCCCCTGTTGATGACTGAGAACTCTGCTGATTTACACGAGCTGAGAATAAGGCATGAGATTTTTAACCACGAAAGAAAACAATTCAGCTCTCTGAATGTAACCTTTCCATGTATATTTAGAGCCCTTTCCTTGTCATTACTTCTACCATGAAAGCTTGTGATCACATAGGTCAAAAAGCCTAAACCACCTAAAAATGCACAGGAAGGGATTGGTGCTGCTTCACAAGCATGTGAGGTTTTAGGGGGCTTTCTCCACCTCTGGAGATAGGAAATATGTCAGTGGTGAAATAAAGTTTATCTACAATAACAGGACAGATTGTTGGCTATGTATATTGGGGCATCTGTAGACATTTACACCAGCTGCGAAACTGAATGTGTGTCTTTGAAATGACTATTCTTCAGTTTTAAATGACTTTCAAATGGGAGGAAAAGCAAAACCAAACTATGCTGTTTTGTTCGTCCTTCCCTGATAATGTAAGATTGCTTTCTGCACTATACACCATTTTGTGAGTATTTGTCTCTAGTTTAAATGCCTCAAGTGACAATCTCCCTTTCCAGAAGTTTATTTCCCAGTTTTATGCTTTCTTTATGTGGAATTTTCAAATGCAATCAGCATTGTTTTAACTTTGTTCTCTTCGTAATGGCTGCAGAAGCCATGACATTTACAAGGAGCAGGGTTAGACCACACTTCTAGGCTCTCTGTCCTTCACTGTTCAAAGCTCCTTCGGTTATGAAGACTAGATCTTCTGTCCTCTTTCAAAACGTTACCAGCAATAGCCTGTAGAGTGGTTCCCTTCACTCCCTGTGGACTTAGACCCTGTGACATTGGTGATTTCTTTTAAAGATTTAAGACGTTGTTTCACACTCTACTTTTGAAAACAGTGCTGAGCAAAAGGAAAAAGGCAAACAACTGTGCAGTTGGGAGAGAGTCACAGTAGTGTCATAATAGGATCAAAGTTGCTTCTCACCTTACGTGTTAATCTTCTCTTTATCTCTCGTTTTTCCTCCTGCTCCTCTTGCTCATTCCGGGCTGTAAAAGATTTACAAGGCTCTCAGGCTGTGGACTCACCAGGCATGCGCAATATCTAACAAAATAAGCCTCTCCATCAGTATATTAATGTTTCAGGACCTCTCTGCTGCACAGTGTCCCTCTGGGGCTGGTGAACTTCCTTGATCCTTAGCTACCGCGCTTCTTCACACACTTCATAAACCATCTACAGCCTCCTTTCTTTCTCTGTGTTGGCACCTCTTCATGCGTGTCACTTTCTAGAAGAGCCAGGCAGCGAGCCAGCTCTTCAGAAACTGTTATCTCCCTGCCCACAGGCCTGGTGGCCTCAGGGAATTCAGCTACGATATGGTCAGATTCTGTGAGGCTGCAAGGCCAATGGTTGCAAAAGAAACACATGCGTTTTTTTTTTTCCCCATCTACAGAGTAATTTCTTGCAGCTACTCTTTGGAAAGAATGGAAAAAAAATACCAGAATATGGGTGCCAGGCAATATCTGCAACTTCCCATGACCTGAGCCAAGCAAGGAGAGAGTGTCCTTCCATCATGAGCCTTCACAGCATCACACTGGAGTGTGAAAGCACATCCTAGGACAATTCACTTTCAACATTAAGTCAAAAGATGACATGTTACAAGTTCTTATGAGGGCAAGCCTCAACCATTATCCCTCAAGAGGACAGTAACATTTGAGTACACTAACTCTTCTTCATCTTAGGAGCAAGCTGTGATGCATGCCTTTGCACTGAGCTTTACTGAAAGTCACTAAAAGCCCAGGTTTCTAGGTAGTCAACTCCTCAATTAGTTAGGATCCGTTTCCACTGCTTCGCTGATGGCTGAACTGCTCCTTACTCCAATCACGCCTGCACGTAACAGACAAGAGCAAATGCAACTCATCAAGTTTTCCAGCAAGTACCCTATGCCCCTGGTGTGATCCTGTTTTCACTCAGATAGGACTAGCTCAGACAGGAGTAACTCTCTTCAGGGGAGATTATGGCCCTCAAAGGCCAGTTTGGGATAGCCAGCTTGATTTAAATTGTCCCACTTTGGACTGAAGTAAACACAAGGGGGAATCCCACATCCCTCTCCACTGATCCTGTGGAAGAAACAGGCACCTCTTGCTGTAACAAACCACCAGTTGTAACTTCTTCAGCCACGAGAGCACAGGTCAGCATCCCACTACAAGTCAAAAAGAATATAAGGAGGTCCTAAACCAATGAAAGTCTGCTCACAGTGAAGGAGATGCAATGTTTCAAACCAATGCATTCAAAATTGGTGCTTTCCCCACACAGAAATAAGAGCTAAGGCTCTGAGACCACAGAAGCCTCTGAGCAGGTGAGGAGGGTTAGTCTGGAAGCCAGGTTTCTTGCTGCTCAGGACAGTAGAGCTGACAGGTCTATCACAACTGCTC